ATATGTAATTTTGATACATCCTTATGGTTAGCAGACAAAGAGGAGGCATGGGTAATACATGTATATTTCTGCCTGAATTCTTGTGGGATCTTATGGGAAAGTACCAAAATCTTATGAAATGCTGCAGTGCCACAAAAGTTTGAAAATGTCTGTTTTCATAACATTTCAATTCTTTTTAGGGATCTTGCAGACCCCTAAATCCAGCAAGATGTGGAGAAGCTCCTTCCTTTAATCTGCCAGAAGCTGCTGATATTGAGCAATCTCCATATTCCAATTGTTTTATGCTACCTGTACCCCACTTTTCCCCGAGAACCCCAAAAGGGAATAAACCACAGAAAATTCAAGAAAACAACGCCCAATTCAAAGACCAGACCTACTGCTTGCACACTGCATGCAAACCACATTAGCAGCAGAATTAACTTTGTTGTTGTGATTTAATACCGGGCCCTGCTATGCAACCCTGCCTACTCTTAATGACGTCATCAGGAGGGGATCTGTTACTTAAGCCCCCCCAAAGATCATCAGCAAAGGCTGAACGGCACAACTTAACATTGATGGAGTGGACATGGATAAATTACAGGCTTCTTTCTCGTGCTACGCCCTGAACTTTTTCTCCTGGCGTTCTCGTCCAAAACAAAAACAATCTTATTTCCTGGCAGGCTGTTCATCCATCAGATGTTCTGATTACACATTTCTGTTTTTGCCTTGGTTCTTTTTGCATTTGAAATCAGAGGTAGGCCTCTGTTTCTTTCCTCCTGCTGCAGTGGCGTGCTTTCAGTTTTGTTTCCGTTCAAATATTTTCCATCCTTCGGGACAGACACCCGCTGGCTGCAGCTACCCGTCGGTGGAAAGTGCACCAGACGTATATATTGAACCAACTAATAAAAGCAGGAGAACTAAATACAGGTGAAGACACCCACGGCTGCTGAAACAATGTTTGATTAAGGCAGAAGCTGGTGAAAACAAGAATGCGTGCCTTCCCGAAACGTCATCAGGTGTGTCTCACACACACAACCATCCGTGCAATTCCTTTTCAGGGTCAAGCAGTGTTCTGCAAACCTCAGATAGGTGGCTCAAAATAATGAGCCAAAGCAATTCAAACCTGAGATTGATTGATTAAATGAATAAATAAAGGAAGCAGAGCTAAAACCAGTTTATAGCAACTTCATTCTCTGAGCTCCTCCAACCTGCTCTGTCCTTGCCAACCATTATGGCCATATGCTGCTTTATATATTTATACTCACTGCCTTTTGTTCCTTTAAATTCTCCCTTTCTCAGTTTCACAGCCAACCACAATTTTCTCTGTCTTGCCCTTCTTCTGCACCCATTCATGCATTTATTTTGAGAGTCAATCTTCGTTACTCTCTGCAAGCTCCAACCCCTTCAACGTATTTCTCTTGAATGGGTCACTCATCCTTTGGGCCCCATTTGTATCTGGCTCCCATCTTTTTTTGCACCAACTCATTCCCACGGCATTCAGGTTACTCTTACGTCTTTCCTGACATCCCACCTCTCACTTCCACTATCAATGCAGGTAGAGACATATTCTTCTATGCAGCTGTTTTAAGCTCCCCCAGGCTCAGTTCACCACACAAATGCAAGCTAATTAGGATGAAGACACAGACATTTGCTGAGTGCCGCTGAGATGCACAACCCTTTACGGGGTACAAAGTCTCTGCCCCAGAGAATCTGCAGTCTAAAATGGGCACAGGGCTTACCAGCAGGAGAAGGGACTGGAACGCAATGTTTTCTCTGCCGATATTCTGAAACTGGGTTAAAAGCTTGAGACGACCTTTTGCAAGAAGGACCAGTTTTGCAGAAGCCCTAAGGCAACGTTTGCCAACCTGGGCCACTTCCAGAGGCACGGACTTCTACTCCCAGCATTCCCTGGGCTGCATGGCTATTGCTGAGAGTTCTGGGAGTTGAAGTCACACATCTGGAAGCAACTCAGCTTGGGAAATGGTGATCAAAAGGAGGGGTCTGCCCCACAGCTCAGCTTTCATCAACCTGGCACCTTCCAGATATGTGCAGGTTGTGGTTCTCAGAAGCCTCAGGTATATGTCCTACTGGTGGGGACTCTGGGAATTGTAGTCCCAATGCACACCCCTCATTTGTGTCTGGCAGCCTTGCTGGCTCAGGGCAATGGATGCTGTAGTCCCATAATATTTGGAGGGCCTATTTCCCCACGGCTGCATATTTGGGTCAATCTCATTAAGAAACATCACCTTCAAGGCATGCTTGACTCCAGCCCTGAAATTATGTTCTAAGAAGGGATGAGTGGAGAAAATTCCCCTAAGATGGCACTTTGGAAAAGAAAAAAAAACAGAAACACAGTACTTTGCCAATTCTTAGGACCTACTTGGCAGCAAATGATGGGAAGGGCGAACAAAAGAAACACTCCGCTGGTGGTAAAAAAAAGTGGGGGGGACATCCCTTAAAGAAAGTCATCAAAACTCATCCTGTGTTTCTTGGTGTGGGGGGAATAATAGTAATAATAACAGTAGTGGGAGCTGGAAGAGGAAGATGATAAGGAGGAAGAGCTAGAGAAATGGGAAGAAGAAGAAAAAGAGGAGAAAAGGGAAGAGGAAGAGGAGGAGCACCCGTAACTCCTGCTTCCAGGAATCCTAAGACCCCATTTTTTCTTTATTTTTGCTGCAACCAACTAACCAGCTTTGCCCACCAATGACTTCTGCTACCGATGACAACGTGCTGGATGGGAATCCTGGGGGCCACATGGCTGGAGGGCCACCAGATTGGGGAAAGCTGGCCTAACCCACCTTCCTCTTTTCATCTTGGCTCTGCTGATCGACTGCAGCAAAGAGGCGCGAGAAGACAAAACTGGGCTTTGTGGCCAGGGTTTGATTGCCCCAACAGTTCCGCCAGGCTGGGTGAATTCACACCCCCTCAGGGAGAACATTTCTCCCAGTATGATTCAAAGATAAACAAAACACGCCTCGATTAAAGGAGAGAAAACCAGACAGTGTGAAGCGCTGGTGCCCAGGAAGTACGTCCCGGCGTTGACCCCGGGTGACGTGTCTGCATGTGGGCGAGCTGCAGAGCTGTCGGAAAAGGAAAACCTCGCTTTGGGGCGATTTGCAAAAAGATATTGGCAGGGAGGGGAAAAGATTTCCACAACTAGCAGCACTGGCTTTTTGAAGCGGATGGGTGCACAGACATCGTTTAATCACTGAATGATTGTTGCAAATGTCATGGCTCACTCAGCGCCTTCGAGTCAGCCTCGACTCCTGGCGACCGCCTGGATGAGTCCCTGCAGTTTTCTTGGGCAGATTTTTGGAGGTGGTTTGCTCTGGCCTCCTTCCTGGGCTGAGCGAGAGGGACAGGCCCAAAGTCACGTTCCTAGCCTGGTGCCTTGACCACGACACCAAAGTAGCTCCAATCAGGCTGCAGCACGTTTGTGTATTAATTTCCAGACATTGCATTTTATTCTTTCAAACTGTGCATGAGAAGTAAAATTACAGCTCTTACTCCTTGTCCTATTAAATGCAACGGTGCTCTTTATGTCGCATCTTTGAATGCAAAAATGCACCCCCTATCGCACTGGACCGCTGCGCTGAAAAACCAGAAAAGTTTTGCATCCCCAGATGAAGCGATCACGTCTTCTCTCGCAGAAGGGTGACCGTACTCTGCAGCGGGTTTACTCCCCTCCCCCCAAGACCAGCTCTACAGCGTGCATCCGAGCCTCGTCGTTGGAGACCCGCCCCCCCATGATTCTGGGGTGGCTGGGCCTCCCTTCCCTGCCTGCGCTTCTCTTCCTCACCTTCTGAAGATCTTCCTGCAGCTCCTTGAGTTTTAGTTCCAAGTACAAAACTTTGTCAGCCAGGCTGAGAGCATGCTGAGACCTGAAATGGTTTGGCAAGGAAGGAGGAACCAGAAGACAGGGACAGCACATTAATTTGTGAGTAAATCTATACATGCACAAACATGCACACTCCAGGAAATGCATCTTCCCACCAGTGGCAAGCCTTTCGATACACTTTATTACCCAGTTCTGGGCCACGTGGTCATGAAAGAAATATTACAAAGCCAAACGCTTATTTCCAGCCCAATTTTTCCCCCCAGAATGCTTAGAGGTCCACACGGGGCTACGCACAGAAAATAAAAATGGAGACTGGCTGCAATCCAGGGTTATGTTTGGAAATGAGCACCTCTGCCCAGAAAAAGGCTTAAGTTATGTTGAAGGCAGACTCCAATAGGTGGCAGTACTTAAAAGGTGAACAAGGTCAGGCTGGGTTATTACTTGGATGGGAGACCACCCGGTAATCTCTTTTTGGAAAAAAGTCACTGGCAAGCCAGTTCTGTTCCCTTGCCAAGAAAACGACATGGATCAGGTTACAAAGATCCTGACTCAAATAAAACTTTATTTTAAGATGGAACATCCTGAAGGGAACAGCAGGAAACAATTTCACCAGTTTTGCTATGTGGCAAAGAGTGAGTTTGTCCCTGGCGGTGCCCACCATAGCTGTCATTTTGGGCAAGCCCATCCCTAGCAGCCACCCGTACAAAGATTTGCTTGGTACCAGCCACTGAATATCACTGCATAGCAATTTGCAAGGGGTAAAGGAGAGATTTCCTGGGCAGTGTGTGGGAAGAGGGGTGGATGAGATCTCTTCAATTCTCCCCGTTTTATCTCAACCCTCAGAAACACACGCACACACACACACACACACACACAGAATTCCTCCTTACTCGTCAATGGCTTGGGGCTGATTGGTGCATCTCTGGGCTGCAGAGCATGCTTCTCGATTCTCCAGGATGTGCTGGCCTGAAGATGGGAAAAGAGGCCCCGGTGAGGTTGCCGTTTGTCAGGGAAACGAGCCCTCTCTCAGCAGCTTCGCAAGCAATAACAGCCTAAATTCCAATTCCTGATGTTTCCGGTGGGAATGAGGCAGGGGGAAAAAGGCTCAGCTTGAAAAAGTTATGAGCTATGCAGGTGAAGGGCTGTGATGTTACCCAGGTGGGTGATGAGAAGTCTGCAGGAAAACAGCTCAGAGGGAATGAAGAACCCAAACGTTCAACCCTATGTGGGAAAGACCTTGAGAAACAGGGCAAAGAGATGCTGCCCAGGGAACGGTCAGATAAGAGACGGCATCGCCCGCAGCTGCACAGTGGGCAGAGAAAGAGGCTCAGAAGGGACCCTCCCTAACTTCTCAGGTGATAAAAGAGACGGCAGGAGATTTGTACTTTCAGACTTGCAAGATTCTGTTAACGTAGCTTTACAATAAAATAGAATTAGCTCATCTTGTCATGTTTCCTGTCTGGTCTACCTGGAAAGGATGACAAACCCTGAGCTACAGATATTCTCTTTGATTGAAAAGGTCCTTTTTCCCACTCAAGGTTGTGCAACAAGTGCTGCTGCCAGTCAGAGCAGGAAACACTAGGGTGAAGGGTCAACAAAAGGGAAGCTGGCTTAAGGCAGCTTGGACCACTGGTGGGGCGGATGCAAGATCCTCAACCCCCAGGAATCCACCCTCTTGCCACCTGGCCCTGAGATGATCCGAGGAGCAGCCCAGCTCCTGGGCATGACTCCGGACACTCACCTTCCCGAGAGAGAGCTTCCAGGATGTTGTTACAAGCTGAAGCCAGATTGGCGATGGAGTCCCATTCGTCTTCCAGTGACTCCCCAGCTTCAGAGAGGACTGTGGGGGAGAGCAGAAACACTTTCACCACCACCTGATTTGGGCTGGAAGGGAGGGACTGGCCCCAAGACCCCCAGGGAGCTTTGGGAGCTGAGGGGGACCAGAGCCCAGGCCTCTCCAGCTGGAGAACATAACTGGTCAGCCAATGCCTTCTCCAAGGATTTTCCCCTTAGTTTCACTTCCTGTTAGTCTGCTGTCAGGCACGGCCATAAATCTCTATTCTTCCAGAACACAAAGTTGCATTCGAGAACTAGGCAGAAGCAGAAACTTGAAGGCCTCTATATTACTATATCAGTTGCTTATGGCAGAAAAGAAAGAATATTGTATATAATTTACAGTAAAATTTGATTGTATGGATCAAATTGGGGAAGGGAGGGGCATCCTGTCTGTAAAAGCCAAATCTGACAAGAAAGAAAGAAAGAAAGAAAGAAAGAAAGAAAGAAAGA